CTTTTTTGTCATAGGGTGTGGAGTTGGGCCTCCCTTGCTGCTGCCAGGCCGTATTGCCTGGGCCCCGTACCCCCCCTCATGCTGCTGCCAGGCCCGATCTTCATGGGTCCCTTACGGCCTCCCATTGCTGCTGTCTCCATCGCCACACTCTGCCATGGCCCCTTTCAGGTCCCCTCACATGCTGGTGTGTTCCATTTTTTGTATAGGGTCTGGCAGATTACGGGCCCCCCTTTGTGCGGCAGGCCACAAATCTCCCATGGGCCCCTTTACCCCCCCTCCTCTCCCCTTTGCTGCTCCCGGGAGGCAGCAAGTCGCGCAGTGTCAGTGGAGGCAAACGGCCACGGAGTAGACACCGCTCCACTGCGCCTACCCCCAGGGCCCCAAAAAATTTGGTGCCTGGGGTTATTAGTTGTGCACAGAGGAAGTAGCAGTCAGGCCAGTGGAAGGAGTAGTCGGGGGCAAAGTTTCCTACTCGGCAGTGTGGCAATTTTTCGTCAAGCCGCCCGAGGAAGTAAACGTAGCCGATATGTCAGAGCTATGAGTGGCCTGAACCGGGTCCGCGGGCCGTGGTTGGCCCACAAGTGGGCCCATGTTGGGACTTACAGCGTTGCGTCAGCATATGCAGCGTGTCCGCCATTCGATGGCCTGGGAAAACCGTGGATATTAAAGAATACGGCGGTTCTAGCCTGCCCCAGCACATGGGTTCTCATTTTTGTCATAGGGTGCTGGCAGATTTACAGGGGCCTCCCATTGGCTGCTGCCAGGCCTTATTCTGCCATGGGCCCCTGTTACCTGCCTCCTCGAAAGCTGCTGGGCCAGGATCCACAGTGTCTCATGGGTCCCTGGTAACGCTCCTCGCCTCCATTAGCTGCATTGTACTCCATCGCCACACACTGCATGTGCCTCTCCATTCAAGGTCTCCTCAGCACTGAGCTGGTGGGTTTCATTTTTGTCATAGGGTGCTGTATGGCCTCCACATTGCTGCTGCCGAGGCCTACTATTCTGCACACTCTGGGCTCCCCGTTTGACGCTCTCATGGCTGCTGCCAGGCCCGTAATCTGTCATGGGCCCCTTTCAGTCGCTTGTTGGCATATTTACCGCTCTTAGTTTATAGTTCAGATGCTCCTTTCTCCTGCTACGCTCCCTTTCCACGTGATTCCGTCAGCAGTGCTTCTTGGGAATTTCCCGTTTTTTCCAGCAGAGATCAAACAGATGTTTGCGAGCACGCACCCAAGACGGTGGCAGAAGCTGAACGTTCCTCCTGTCCAAGCGTTGCTGCTGCCCAGGGGCGTCGTACTGTGATCTGTCATGCGGCCCCTGTTACGCCCTCCTCTTTCGCCTGCTGCCAGTCCAGAGTTGGTTCATGTCATGGGCCCCCGTACCGGCCTCCTCATGCTGCTGCCAGGCCCGTTAATCTGCTCATGGGCCCCTGTATCCTACACAGCCTTCCTCATGCTGCTGCCAGGTCCAGAGTGTGTCATGGGTCCCTGTACGGCCCTCCCCATTGCTGCTGCCAAGCCCGTATTTGCCATGGGCCCGTCCGTACCGCCTCCTCATGCTTGCTGCCCAGTTCCAGAGTGTTCTCATGGGGTCCCCAGTACGGCCTCCCTTTGCTGCTGTCCTCCATCGCACACACTGCTGAATGTGCCACTTTCAGGTCTCCTCACCACTGCTGGTGGTTCCATTTTTTGTCATAGGGTGCTGTATGGCCTCCCATTGCTGCTGCCTCCACCGCCACACTGTCTGGCTCCACACTCTGTTTTGGCCCCTGTGACTGCCCAAATGAGTGATGTGTGCGGTGATTCTAAGAATCGACCAGGCACTCATCTGCATGTCATACTGACTGATAGTTAGGTTATTTCTCTTCCCCAGCAGACTCCAATGGGCATTTAAATTAAAGGTACAGTGTTCTTGCACTTAACATAAAGGCTCTCTGAAGTCTAGAAACACCCTTTATTATAAGTTAAATTCGCAGCGAAATTAAATTCGACTCGAATCGAAATTTTTTCACAAATTCGCATCGAATCAGTCGAATCCGAATTTTTGAATAATTCGCTCATCTCTAGTAAATACCCTCAAATTAAGATGACAGTCTGCAGTGTTAAACGCATCATCTTGGTTTGTTTCATTTCAAATCCATTGTGGTGGGGTGTATATAGCCAAAACTGTTAGAATTGTGTCGATGTCCCAATTTTATGGACCTGACTGTATATTGACACATATATGTATACCATCTATTCCTACCCAGTACAGCCTGTACTACAAGTCTCCTTCCTCCCTCCCCCCTCCTCTTACTACTCAAGCTGGCACAACCCTCCTTGTACTCCAAATATACTATATATTTATATATACGTATATGCCCCATTTCCTGAGTTATTTCGTTTTTTGAAAAACCCCCAACAACTGAACTATTCATATATCGCCTAAGACTTTCTGTGTGTGAACTCTATACCCATCACCACCTCTCTTGCGCCAATTACATCTTCTGTTTGTTGGTTTATTACACACACTGTGTTTCAGTTTGAGTAAACTTACATGGGCACTTTTTTATTTTATTCATACTTTTTTTCTCATTTTTTGCACTTTGATGGGTTTAGAACCTTTGGGGAGAGTATTACACACATGATTATTGAATTTTATGTTTATTTTTAAGATACATGTGGTGTTAATTATTTTTTGTATACAATAATTATATAATTAGGTAATTCTCAAATATTGCTGCCAAATATGTACCACAATGTAAAATATATCTAACAATACCAAAAAAGTAAAGAGGTCTTCACTGGTACCAGGGATGGCACAAATCTTAAAATTCCATATATAGGGATTATATTGCCTATTTTTTAACAATACTGTAAAAAAATTGGAATTTTAACATTTGTGTCATCCCTGGTAGAGGTAAAGCCCTCTACTTTTTTGTTTATTGTTGGATATATATAATTAACTATGTAGTATTCTATACTGCTTTGCAGTTAATTGTATATTAGCGCTGCGCATTATTTTTTTTTTTTTTTTTTTTTAATTTAAATATTTATTAGTTTTTTTTTTTTTACAAAAAAAAATTCCATAAGAAGAAATAACAATACATATAAATATTTCCATATATTTCTACCTTGCCCCCCTTCTAATAATTACTCTTTTCTTTCCCTCCCCTCCCAACCCTTTCCCACCCACCTTCCCCCCCTCCCTCCCCTTTGCACGTTCTATACTCTCCTCGAGGCCCAATAGTTTCTTAATTTATAGTTTTTCTATACTTTCTCTTTCAGTCCTGATTTTTCCCATTTTTTTTCCCATCTTGTATAGTATATTTCCATCCTATCTTCCTGCATATAGTAAGATTTTTCCATTCTACTTATCTGATTTACTCTGTTGATCCAGTCTTCCTCCTTCGGCACCTCTGATTTTTTGCCAGAACTTGGGTATCAACCCCTTTGCAGCATTTAAATGGTACCATACGCCTGATTCTTTATATTTATTTACTGTGATCCCAACACTATGTAGGAGACACATCGTTGGGTCTAACCCTATGTCATTTCCAGTTTATTATTTCTATTGAGTTAACTATTATCTTCCAGAAAGCCTGAATTTTCAGAACATTGCCACCAAAATGTGAAACACCGTGCCCTCCTCCCCACAACCTCTCCAACACATTTTAGAATTCTCCCCCCCTCATCTTGTGCTCAATACTCGGTGTGATATGCCATCGTGTCAAACATTTATAGTTAATCTCCACGTCTCTCATACTAACATTCTCGTGTATCAATCTATATATCTTGTTCTGTTGGTCCTCGTCTAACAACCACCTCCATATCTCTTTTTCCCATTTTTGTTATAAAAATTAACTTTGTGTCTGTGTCTAATTCTGTGAGTATTCTACAAACCCTTTGGCAATTCCGTGTTTCCCATCTCTACGTGTTTCCAACAACCTTTCAAACATATTCCAATCCTTTTTTTAATCTCAGGGGTTTTGGTAGTTTTCCAATAAAGCATTTTAACTGATGATAATTTTCCACTCGTCTATTCCAATAAAACTTTCTCCCTTCTCTCTCTTTTAATTCTTTAAATGGTCTCAATTCCCCCTCTACCCTCAGTACATCTCTCTCAGTTGGATATCTTCCCTTTTTAACCATCTACCAGATATCTCATCCTTTCCTGGGGGGAAATAATCAATCAAATTTACAAGGGGCATTAATATAGAATTGAATTCCCATTTCCTACGTTTGTGTAAATTTTCCCATACCCTTAAAACATTTAAAGTGTAAATACTTGTGCTTTTCTTTAACTCTTCTAAGATGTGCTGGAGTACCCATATCATCTTACTCAAACTAATCCCACTCAATTCGTTTTTTCAATTTTTACCCAACTCTTCCCCTTGTGGTTGAATGTCCAATCATAAATTTCTTGCTAAAATTACTGCTTTATAGTATCTCTTGACATCAGGTAGTCCCATTCCCCCTTTCTCTTTAGTTCTACTCAATAAGTTCATATGATATTCTTGATTTTTTGTTCCTCCAGATATATCTTATTAACATTTTTTTCATTATCTTAAAAAACACCTCTGGGAGTTTAATTGGGACCATTTGGAATCTATACAGTATTTTAGGTATGATTACCATTTTAACTAGGTTTATACGTCCTATCCATGATGGGTTTCCACCTTCTAATATATTTTAATTCTTCCTTAATCTCATTTAGCAAAGAAATATAGTTTAATCTATACAGTTGTTTATATGAGATAGCAAGTTTTATTCCTAGATATTTTAAATCTTTTTCTCTCCATGTAAAGGGGAACTCTTTTTGTAGCTTTTCCTTTTCACTCTTTGGTACGTTGATGTTCAAGATCTCTGTTTTTGTTGGATTAATTTTTAAATTTGATAGATCACCATATTCCTTCAAGATCTTCATTATATTTGGTAATGTTATTCGAGGGTTGTCTACATAAAACATAAGTCGTCCGCAAAGGCCGCTACCTTTATGCTCTGTATTTTCTATCTGGATTCCCTTTACCGCTCCACTATTCCTTATCGTAGACAACAGGGGTTCCAATGACAGAACAAACAGCAAGGGGGACAGTGGGGCAGCCCTGTCTTGTTCCATTGGACATTCCAATGGATTCCGACCTCTCCCCATATTACCATGATAATTGCGGTGGGCTCCCTATATAATTTTTACCTATCCACTCATGCATTCTCTCTCTCCAATCCCCAACACTTCTAAGTTGTCCATCATGAAGCCCCAGTCCACTCTATCGAACGCCTTTTTCGCATCAATCGACAATAGTACCGTCGTGGCCTTCCCTTTTCTACTTTTCTGAATGAGCATCAGTGTTCTCAACCCGTTGTCTCTACCCTCTCTCCCTGGGACAAAGCCCACCTGATCTCCGTGAATCCATTCAGGCATTAGATCTTTCAGCCTATTTGCTATGAACCTTTGCGTACAACTTAGTATCGGTGTTCAATAATGAAATTGGTCTATAGCTAGAACACTGGGAAGCGGGTCTTTTCCCTCCTTTTGAAAATGAGTACAACATGGGCCTGAAGAGATTCTCTTCTCCCCTCCATCCCTCCTCCCAGGTCGTTCATCCATACTTCTTCAGCTTAGGTAACAATATTTCACTATATTTTTTAATAGTACTTAACTGTATACCCATCCGGTCCTGGACTTTTTCCACCCCCTGTACTTCTTAATGCTACTTTTATTTCATCCTGGGAAATTTCCGCGTCCAAGGGCGTTCAATTGTATTTCACTTAACTTTGGTAATCCTGCATTTTTTAAATATATCATCCTTTTTTCGTTAATATCCTTTGCATTTTCCTTTGAAGAGCCATGGGGACTGATATTATACAGTTTTCTATAGTATTCCGTGAACACTTTAATAATCTCTTTTGGTTGAATAAACCAAACTCTTTCCTTTAGGGTTTTTTATCCTTTTTCTATATAATTTCTATTTTTCTTTTTATTCAGAGCTCTCATTAAGTATTTTCCTGGTCTGTCGCCCCATCTATATCTTTCATTTAGTACTTTATTATATACCCTTCTCCTCTCTTCGTCCATCAATCTCTCTAATTCATCTTTTTTATCCATTAATTTCTGTCCTATTTCTCTTGTTATTTTCTTCTTTTGTATCTGCTCTAAATCCAGGATGTCTTTTAGGAGCCCACTAACCCTCTCTCTTCTTTCTCTTTTCTTCCTTGCTCCCATCGCAATC